TGTGTGTGTGTGTGTGTGTATCTATGTGTATGTGTGTGTGTATCTATGTGTGTGTGTGTGTATCTGTGTGTGTATCTATGTATGTGTGTGTGTGTGTATCTGTGTGTGTATCTATGTGTGTGTGTATCTATATGTGTGTGTGTGTATCTCTGTGTGTGTGTGTGTATCTCTGTGTGTGTGTGTGTATCTCTGTGTGTGTGTGTGTATCTCTGTGTGTGTGTGTGTATCTCTGTGTGTGTGTGTGTATCTCTGTGTGTGTGTGTGTATCTCTGTGTGTGTGTGTGTATCTCTGTGTGTGTGTGTGTATCTCTGTGTGTGTGTGTGTATCTCTGTGTGTGTGTGTGTATCTCTGTGTGTGTGTGTGTATCTCTGTGTGTGTGTGTGTATCTCTGTGTGTGTGTGTGTATCTCTGTGTGTGTGTGTGTATCTCTGTGTGTGTGTGTGTATCTCTGTGTGTGTGTGTGTATCTCTGTGTGTGTGTGTGTATCTCTGTGTGTGTGTGTGTATCTCTGTGTGTGTGTGTGTATCTCTGTGTGTGTGTGTGTATCTCTGTGTGTGTGTGTGTATCTCTGTGTGTGTGTGTGTATCTCTGTGTGTGTGTGTGTATCTCTGTGTGTGTGTGTGTATCTCTGTGTGTGTGTGTGTATCTCTGTGTGTGTGTGTGTATCTCTGTGTGTGTGTGTGTATCTCTGTGTGTGTGTGTGTATCTCTGTGTGTGTGTGTGTATCTCTGTGTGTGTGTGTGTATCTCTGTGTGTGTGTGTGTATCTCTGTGTGTGTGTGTGTATCTCTGTGTGTGTGTGTGTATCTCTGTGTGTGTGTGTGTATCTCTGTGTGTGTGTGTGTATCTCTGTGTGTGTGTGTGTATCTCTGTGTGTGTGTGTGTATCTCTGTGTGTGTGTGTGTATCTCTGTGTGTGTGTGTGTATCTCTGTGTGTGTGTGTGTATCTCTGTGTGTGTGTGTGTATCTCTGTGTGTGTGTGTGTATCTCTGTGTGTGTGTGTGTATCTCTGTGTGTGTGTGTGTATCTCTGTGTGTGTGTGTGTATCTCTGTGTGTGTGTGTGTATCTCTGTGTGTGTGTGTGTATCTCTGTGTGTGTGTGTGTATCTCTGTGTGTGTGTGTGTATCTCTGTGTGTGTGTGTGTATCTCTGTGTGTGTGTGTGTATCTCTGTGTGTGTGTGTGTATCTCTGTGTGTGTGTGTGTATCTCTGTGTGTGTGTGTGTATCTCTGTGTGTGTGTGTGTATCTCTGTGTGTGTGTGTGTATCTCTGTGTGTGTGTGTGTATCTCTGTGTGTGTGTGTGTATCTCTGTGTGTGTGTGTGTATCTCTGTGTGTGTGTGTGTATCTCTGTGTGTGTGTGTGTATCTCTGTGTGTGTGTGTGTATCTCTGTGTGTGTGTGTGTATCTCTGTGTGTGTGTGTGTATCTCTGTGTGTGTGTGTGTATCTCTGTGTGTGTGTGTGTATCTCTGTGTGTGTGTGTGTATCTCTGTGTGTGTGTGTGTATCTCTGTGTGTGTGTGTGTATCTCTGTGTGTGTGTGTGTATCTCTGTGTGTGTGTGTGTATCTCTGTGTGTGTGTGTGTATCTCTGTGTGTGTGTGTGTATCTCTGTGTGTGTGTGTGTATCTCTGTGTGTGTGTGTGTATCTCTGTGTGTGTGTGTGTATCTCTGTGTGTGTGTGTGTATCTCTGTGTGTGTGTGTGTATCTCTGTGTGTGTGTGTGTATCTCTGTGTGTGTGTGTGTATCTCTGTGTGTGTGTGTGTATCTCTGTGTGTGTGTGTGTATCTCTGTGTGTGTGTGTGTATCTCTGTGTGTGTGTGTGTATCTCTGTGTGTGTGTGTGTATCTCTGTGTGTGTGTGTGTATCTCTGTGTGTGTGTGTGTATCTCTGTGTGTGTGTGTGTATCTCTGTGTGTGTGTGTGTATCTCTGTGTGTGTGTGTGTATCTCTGTGTGTGTGTGTGTATCTCTGTGTGTGTGTGTGTATCTCTGTGTGTGTGTGTGTATCTCTGTGTGTGTGTGTGTATCTCTGTGTGTGTGTGTGTATCTCTGTGTGTGTGTGTGTATCTCTGTGTGTGTGTGTGTATCTCTGTGTGTGTGTGTGTATCTCTGTGTGTGTGTGTGTATCTCTGTGTGTGTGTGTGTATCTCTGTGTGTGTGTGTGTATCTCTGTGTGTGTGTGTGTATCTCTGTGTGTGTGTGTGTATCTCTGTGTGTGTGTGTGTATCTCTGTGTGTGTGTGTGTATCTCTGTGTGTGTGTGTGTATCTCTGTGTGTGTGTGTGTATCTCTGTGTGTGTGTGTGTATCTCTGTGTGTGTGTGTGTATCTCTGTGTGTGTGTGTGTATCTCTGTGTGTGTGTGTGTATCTCTGTGTGTGTGTGTGTATCTCTGTGTGTGTGTGTGTATCTCTGTGTGTGTGTGTGTATCTCTGTGTGTGTGTGTGTATCTCTGTGTGTGTGTGTGTATCTCTGTGTGTGTGTGTGTATCTCTGTGTGTGTG